ACATTTCTAGAGTGTGCCCTGGGCCTCAGGAGGGCTCTGCCTGGTGTATCGGTCTCCTTTCACTGCTGTAATAAATTACCACAAACTTCCTAGCTTAAAACAACACAAGTTTATTACCTCATGGTTCTAGAGGTTAAGAGTTCGACATGGGTCTCACGGATCTAAACACAGATGTGGCAGGGCTGGTCCTTCTGGAGGCTCCGGAGAGAATACTTTCTGACCTTTTCTAGCTTCTAGAGGCACCGCACCCCTGGCCCCTTCCTCCATCTTCACAGCCAGCAGCACAGCCTCTTCCATCTCTCTGACTCTGACCCTCTTGCCTTCCTCTTATGAGGACCCAACTAGTATAAGGACACTGGGCCCCATGGGGAATCCAGGGTTGTCTCCATCTCAGGGTCCTAGACTTAATCCCATCTGCAAAGTAATATCCACAGGTGCAGGGACCATGATGGGGACATCTTTGGGCTTGCGTTCTAACACCCGCTCAGTGAAATGCATTCTTTCTTTCTTTTGGGCTCCCCCCAGCTCCCTTGTCAGGGACTCTAAAACAAACTGTATACACAGGGTTTTAGAGGCCAGGTGTCTCTGCCCTGCCATTGTTGCTCAGTTGGTTGGGGGTCATCCCAAGCTCCACAAGGCTACCAGTTCAATTCCCTGTCAGGGCACATGGCTGGTTGTGGGCTCAATCCTTAGTATAGGGCATACAGGAGGCAGCGGATCGATGTTTTGCTTTCATATCCATGTTTCTCTTTCTCTCTCTCTAAAAATCAATTCAATTTCAAAATCTTTAAAAAAGAGAGAGCTTGCCCTAACCAGTTTCGCTCAGTGGATAGAGCGTCAGCCTGCGGACTCACGGGGCCAGGTTCAATTCCGGTCAAGGGCATGTACCTTGGTGCGGGCACATCCCCAGTAGGGAGTGTGCAGGAGGCAGCTGATCGATGTTTCTCTCTCATCGATCTTTCTAACTCTCTATCCCTTTCCCTTCCTCTCTGTAAAAAAATCAATAAAATATATTTTAAAAATAAATAAAATAAAGAAGAGAGCTGGGTGTCAGAGGGTCAGAAGGGTCTGAGGAGCACTTGGCTTGGCCATGGGGCAAGACACAGAGAAGCTTTCCAGCACTAAGCTTCCTCCAGGGGCCCAGACAGAGGCCCAGGTGCCTCAGAAGGGAGGGTCCTGGGCTCCTTGGGTAACCCAGGCTCAATCCTATGTCAGGATCCTTGACTTAATCTCACCTGCAAAGTCCCTCTGCCATATGAGGAGGCATGTCCATAGCCCCAGGACCAGGATGGGGACATCTTTGGAGCTGTCTTCAAGCCAGCCACCATGCTGATGTCACAGCCTGAATCAGGAGCAGAGGGTGCTTGTGGTGGGCCCAGTGGGAAGGGGCAGGCTATAAAGGGTCTCGAATACTAAGCTCTGTCTGGACTTCTTCTTGGCTTGGATCACAGGCCTAGGGCTCATGGGACTCATGTGGGAGGTACCTGAGGTTGACCAACAGGGCCTCAGGACCCCTTACCCTGAGCAAAGGTTTCATGTTTGTCTGATCCCACACTCAGCACTGGGGTGAGATTTTGCTGGAGGAAGGGTCTGCTTTATTTACTTACTTACTTACTTACTTACTTATTTATTTATTTAAAACCTCACCCAAGGATCTGGTGTGTGTGTGTGTGTATTTTTTTTTAATTGATTTCAGAGAGGAAGGGAGAGGGAGAGAGACAGAAACATCAATGATGAGAGAGAAACATCAATGAGCTGCCTCCTACACGCCCCCTGCCGGGGATTGAGCCTGCAACTCTAGCATGTGCCCTTGCCCGGAATCCAACCTGGGACCCTTCAGTCTGCAGGGCAACACTCTATCCACTGATCCAAACCAGCTAGGGCTTAAAATATTTTTTTATTTATTTCAGAGAGGAAGGGAGAGGGAGAGAGAGCTAGATACATCAATGATGAGAGCGAATCATGGTTGACTGCCTCCTGCATGCCCCCCACTGGGGATCGAGCCTGAAACCCTCCTGGTTCATAGGTCAATGCTCAACCACTAAGCCACCACGCTGGCTGGGGGATACGGTGGTTTTTTTGTTTGTTTGTTTTGGTGTGTGTTTTTAAAATATATATTTTTATTGATTTTTTACAAAGAGGAAGGGAGAAGGATAGTTAGACACATCGATGAGAAAGAAACATCGATCAGCTGCCTCCTGCACACCCCCTACTGGGGATGTGCCCGCAACCAAGGTACATGCCCTTGACCGGAATCGAACCCGGGACCCTTGAGTCCGCACGCCGACACTCTACCCACTGAGCCAAACTGGTTAGGGCAATGTGTGTGTTTGTTTTAATTGATTTTAGAGACAGGAAGGGAGAGAGAGAGACAGACAGAAACATTGATGGGAGAGAGAAACATTGATCGGCTACCTCCCATGATCGGTTGCTTCCTGTAGGCACTCCAATCGGGGATAGAATCTGCAACCTGGGAATGTGCCCTGACCAGGAATTGAACACGCAATCTTTTGATGCACTGGACGATGCTCCAACCAACTGAGCCATCGGGCCAGGGCAGTTCTGCTGCTTTAAAAGGGAGAACTGGGTCCAAGTGCCCTAACAAGGAGACTAGAGTAGGGGCAGGGCGCTACGTGTTCAGCAGGCGCTCAATAAACATCTGTGGGATGGATACATGAACTCTGAGTGCTAGGAAAGGCGGCGGTGGTGTCCCAAGGGGTTCTAGGCTGAGAAACCGCACCATTTCTTGGCAGAGCAGGGGAGGTGGTGGGAGCTGAATGCATTAGAGAGAGAGAGATGGGGGAGTAAGGCCAGGTGGGTGGCCACAAGGGTTGGGAGGCTTCCAAGGGCTGTGGACTCTGCACACCCCATGCCTCAGTTTCCTCATTCACATGTCAGGTGATACCCCAACTGGGGAAACAGCGTCAGGAACTAACAAGGAGGCATGTCCGAGACGAGTGGAGAGGAACTTAATCAGAGCTCTGAGAAGGTCACCAGCCCTGTAGGACAGGCCAATACCCAGAGACGCAGAAAATGGGGGAGGGTCTTAAGCTGACAGCCAGAGCACCCTGAGAGGTTGACCCCCACTGGACCTTCCTCTCCGGACCATGGCACCTCCCAAGGTTGTGCAATGGCACCTGCTAAACCAGGGGCCCAGGGTGTCCTCATGCTCCAGAGCTGAAGGAAGAAACTTCGAACCCACTTGGAAAGAGTGGCGGGCCGTGTCCATAGGGCCTCTCGTCTCTAGCATCACTGCCTTTATCCTGGGACACCTGGGGGCCCAAATTTCTTCTGCAGGCCCCCGAGGGGCAGGTAAGCCACAGGCTCCCATCTCCACGAGGCCCAGCCTCGTCTTTTCCTGGGTGGCCACAAGGGTCACGAAGGGGCAGCTTAAAGAACAGACACTTGCTCCTACAGCTGTGGAGGGCAAACATCCCAGGAGGGTCCATCCTGCCTCTCCTACTCCCAATGTCCTTGGCCACATGGTCCAGTCTCTGCCTCTAGGGTCACATGCTTTTGTCCTCTGTGTCTCCTCTTCTGTCTAAGGACTCGCCGGGTTTAGGGCCAGCTGAGATAACCAGCATCCTCTCAACTCCACTTTCAGCTAATTATTCCTGCCAAGACCCTAGTTCTGAAGAAGGACCCATTTTGAGGATCCAGGTGGATGTGGATTTGAGGGGGGGCACTGCCTATCACAGTACAGACCCCCCCCCCGGTCCAGCTGAAGCCCTGAGTGTGGAGAATGGCTGGCTCCAGTGGGTATGAGGCGGATGAATGGCCTGTCTGGATCCAAGCAAGTCCAGTGGTTTTGAACTGACTGATTTATGCTGCATCCCGCCACAGCCTGTCCTCTTGCAGGCCTCACATCCCCCACTTCACAGGGGGAGACTGAGGCTGGGAGCTGAGCAGCTGCTGCCCCCTTACACCTGGGTGGTTCCCAAACCATATGCCAAGGCCTCCACGTCCCCTGCCACAAAGAACAGGCTCAGGGAGTATTTGAAGTTTCCCAGGGAGCCCTAACCGGTTTGGCTCAGTGGATAGAGCGTCGGCCTGTGGACTGAAAGGTCCCAGGTTCGATTCCGGCCAAGGGCATGTACCTTGGTTGCGGGCACATCCCCAGTAGGAGGTGTGCAGGAGGCAGCTGATCGATGTTCCTCTCTCATTGATGTTTCTAACTCTCTATCCCTCTCCCTTCCTCTCTGAAAAATCAATAAAATATATTTAAAAAAAAAAGTTTCCCAGGGAAATGCAGTGCCGTGGCTCCGGCGGTCCCACGTAATCACGTTCGAGCAAAGGTGCCAACATTAGACTGAAGGTGGGCTTCTTCCTGAAAATCATCTCCATGGAGCTCAGTTTTCCAGAGCTGCCATGAAGAGATGGGGCGCTACGCAAGAATTCTGATGGTGAGGCCAGGAAGGCAGGGTCTGCCTGATTCCTTGGGAGCTAAGCTGCCCCATGTACCCCAAGAGAATAAATCAAACATTATCTTCCTTTGACTGGTGTGTGTCATGTTTTCAAATGGCCGCTAGGTTTGAGGCCACAGACACTCACTGTGGTGTTTGCACCTGATGGGCACCGCTTTGCCTGGGGGCACAGGGACGGAGGATCCTCTCCTAGACACTAAGGTGAACACAGGGCCTACGCTAGGAGAAGGAAGAAGGCAGCGAGGTTTGGGGAAAGCAAATCAGGAGCAGCTCTAAAAGGCTGCCACACCACCCATACACGGGATGTAAGCAAAGGAGCGATGGGGACAGCCCCCATCCTTTGTTACATGACCTCTGACCCAGCTCTCCACTTGGTGAAATTGCCTCTGACAGATCAGAACAGTGAGGCTGTAGTTCAGGCTGGCAGGGCCAGGAGCATTGCTATTCCCCCCAAATAAGCCATATTTCCACATGGCACACGGCTCAACAGAGATTATTGGCGCCAACCTGAGATGCAGCAGGGATCCCGTGGGTAGACACTGGGATTGAGGGGCTGCTCGAACTTGAGTCTCCTACCTGAGGAAAGTCACTCTTTGGCAGGAAGCTGGGAGTGGTGGCCGTGGGGCTGTAGCTGGTGTCTGTGCAGGATTGGCCCACAATGTTCATATAAGGGCTGGAGAGAGACAGGAAAGAAGGTGAGCTTTTGGGTGTAGTAGGGCCACTGTGCTCCCCACTTTGAGTGCAGAACAGGAGTGGGGACACCCACCAACAGGAAGAACTCGGGTCTCTGGGAAACTCGGTTCAGAGAGGGGCCCAAGCACCCATGCCCCAGAAAAAGAGGGTCAAGCTACATGTGCTTCAAGGCTTTCCATACGCTATTCCTTGACCTGGTTCCAGGCATGCTCCCCTGCAAACTCCTATTTGCCCTACAAAACCCAGCTCCTGATGCCCTCTGGAAGAAGATGCATGCCTGGTTCTTTTTGCCCCCAAAGTTTCTCACCCTCTCCCACCTATTGTCACCTCCCACAGTGGAGCCCCCCTAGCTCATCCCACCACCTCTGCCCTTTTCCCTAGTGGGTTCTCACTAAGACAAATCATAGCTGGTTGATCTCAACTGCTTCTAAGCAGCCAAGACCAAGCCCATGGCCCACTTGGCAGGAGGTTGAAGCCCTCCAGGTGCGAGTTTGAATTTTATTTAATTCATGACTACAGAACAGGAAGGCAGAGTGAAGCCCTGAGCGAGATGGGGCTATGGAATGTGGTGGGGCTGGCTGAGACCCGGGCTGAGGCACTTACTGGCTTTCACTGGAGAAGACTGGATATTGGGTGTTCCACCACGGGTAGTGTAGCATGGCGTTCTGCAAAAGAGCAAGTGCATCATAAGGGGACTCGAGGGGATAGGAGAAGAGGGAACCTGCCTCACTCACTGGGTAGGGTTCCAGTGGTCCAGAGTTAGGGCCTCCAAGGTCAGGGTACAAGCCCACCCTTGGCCCCTAGCTGGGTCACCTGGGACTCACTGAACCGCTGTGTGTCTCAGTTTCTCCACGTGCATGGGAGAACCCACTGAGACGGTTGCAGCAAAGATGAAGGTATTGATCAATACACGTACAGGACCGGGTGGGGATGGGTGGGTGTGGTCCCAGAATCCCAGAGGCCTGGGAAACTGTATTTAACAGCCTGCGCGTTGGTGATCCAAGACCATGCTTGGAGGCTCCCCACCCCCATTCTACAAAGTGAAGGATAAGACCAGACGCAAAGCGAGATAGCGCAAGTCCCTGCAGGGCCAGGCCCCATGGGGAAGATGTGTGGCTTACCCAGGGAGATAGAACTTCTCAGAGGGGTGGGGGCAAAGGCCAGGGCAAGGGGCTTCCTCCAGCACCATGAACTGGCCCCTGCCATAGCAAAACCCTCATGGTCAAACCCCTCCTAGTCAAGTTGGGGCGGGGGGTCACACTTATCAGAGCTCCCATGGGCCAAGGGAGCTACCAGCATCAGCCAACTCTGTCTGGTCCAAGAGTGTATGGGTAGGGGTTCCAAGGAACCTGCTTTGGGAAACACCAATGGGTGGCAGGAAGAGTGAGCCTGAGGTCAGTGGGTATACAAGAGGCCTTGCACTGGGATTTGACAGGACTAGCTTGAAAGTGTGGGACCGTGAACACGCCAGCCCCTCTGTACAAGGAAGTGGCATGTCCTACAATGACACACAGGTCAGTTGGGCAGGAGTCCCCTCCCCTAAAACAAGCCACAGCCTCACCAGCAATGAAGCCCACATAGGACCCCATCAGGAAGGCTGCCCCTGGGGAGAGGCCTACTGGCTGCAGTCAGGGTCTCCAGTGGTCCCAGCTGGCCCAGCTGGATGGCAAGTCCAAGGCAGGAGCCCAGCAGACGGCAGCCTCCCACCACTTGGCCCACACAGGTCCTGGTCCTTGGTAAAGTGGCTGGATGCAACTCCCTAGGCCACCGTGCCCTCCCTCTCTGAGACCCTGACCCAAATCTGGCACAGAACCAGCCCAGATGTCTGAAACCACCACAGCGCTATTCTTCTGTGTCCCCTCCATGCCAAGGGGGGAGCCAGCCATGAATTCCCAGCACTATGCCCCACCCCTGACCCCTAAGGGGCCTTCCAGTGTTCAGATGTCCAGTCCCAGAGAATCAATGCAAGGAAGAAGAGGAGAGAGACACATCGAGACATTATTGACTGGCAGAGGCCTAGGGTGGTCTGCCCGTTCTGTTTTTGCACAGGCTGCAAAATTTAAAAATATAATAAAAATAAAAAATTTGGCCCAGCCGGTGTGGCTCAGTGGTTGAGCATCAACCTAGGAACCAGGAGGTCACTGGTTCGATTCCCAGTCAGGGCACATGCTCAAGTTTCAGGCTCTATCCCCAGTAGGGGGCATGCAAGAGGCAGCCAATCGATGATTTTCTCTCATCATTGATGTTTCTATCTCTCTCTCCCTCTCCCTTCCTCTATCTGAAATCAATAAAAATAAATAAATAAATAAATAAAAAATTTGGGGAAGAAGAAGCACAAGGCCTCTCCCCAGCATGAATACCAGCAGCACAAACACTCTTACAATGAATCCGCTGTGGAAGCCTCCAGAAGGAAGCCATGCTGTGGCCTGGAGAAGATGGGGTCTCCAGGAACCCCATTTCTCCCTAAGGCCCTGGTCCAAGGTCACTTAACCCCTGTGGCCCTATTTGAAAAGAGAAATACAGCTCCAGAGGGACATGAACTTCCCAAGGTCACCACCACTTCTGGAACATTCTACTCTAGACCAAGCTCGGCCTCCTTAGATGAACTAGCATAAACAGGGCGTGTGGATAGCACCTCAGCCAGGCCAGTTCAGGGAGTGGGTGCCTATACTATGGGCTCACAAGGGGCACAGCTGGCCTGGGGGCTGTGGGTGTCTGGGGTGGGGAGGACCAAGGGGGTTGTTCATTCCCCAACCCGCTCTGCCTACACCTAGATCAGGTCTGGGGAGCCTGGTGGAGGTCCTAGGCCAGGGGACCCCTAGGTTCTCGAGGTACTCAAGGCCTCAGCAGGGGAGGCAGAGTGGTGGGGGTCACTCCTGGTTTTGTCTACCCAGTAACCCCAACCTCCTCCCCAGTACTCCGCTCTAGTAAGGCTGCCAATTAAGAACAACCCAGTTTGGCCCAGGTCGGGTGGCTCAATTGATTGGAATGTCGTCCCATACACCAAAAGGTTGGGGGTTCGATTCCCGATCAGGGCACATACCTAGGTTGCAGGTTCAATCCCCCCAGTCAGGACACATATGGGAGGCAACCAATGGATGTTTCTGTCTCACATGGATTTTTTTTTCTCTCTTCCTCTCTCTCTAAAAAAATCAATTAAAGAACATACAAAACTGCCCTGGCTAGTTTGCTCAGTCGTTAGAGCGCTGGCCCTCGGATCAAAGATGTCTCTGGTTCAATTCCTGGTCAGGGGCACGTACCTCGGCTGCAGGTTCCCCAGCCCTGGTAGGGGCCCATGCAGGAGGCAACCAATCGATATGTCTCTCTCAGAATTTTTCTGTCTCTTTCTCTCTCTCTCTCTCTCCCCCCTCCCTCCCTTCCTTCGCTCTCTCTAGAAATCAATGGAAAAAATATCCTCAGGTGAGGATTAAAAAACAAGATATACACAAAACATATCCTTAGGCGAGGATTTAAAATAAATAAATAAATGAAAAAAAGGGGGAACCCAGTTTCAAACACCCGCCCCCCAGAGGTGGCACCATAAATCAGCCAATCAGAGTCTTCCTTGGGATTTTCCAGTGCAGCCAGAAATGGTGGCTCTGCCTTCTGAGGGCAGGCCCCTGGGATATGACTGGTCCAGAGACAAGCACCTGACTCTAGCCAGCCATTCAGAGCCTGCCTGGGATTCTCCATCTGTGGACAGAAGCTAGCCCTCTTCCTGGGGAGGGGCAGGCCTTGGGTCATTAGCCCTGGCTGCCCAGGCCACCTGTAATCTGACTAGGAAGATAAAACTCCTGCCAGGGAGGCAGATAAAATACAGAACATCTAGTGAAATTGGAATTTCTGATAAGCAACAAGTAAGTGATTTTTAGTGTGAAGTATTACATGAGACACACACAATAAAAATTATGTGTGTTTATGTGAAACATAAATTTCACTGGACAGCTGTGGTTTTATTTGCTAAATCTGGCTACTTTAGTGACACTGAATATCCTGGGGCCAGCTCCACCTCTCACCTGGTCCACTCTGCTTCCCTGTCCTGAGCTTGGTTCCACCCAGCTAGGAGGCAGAAGAAAGAAGCATGTTACCCACACCGACTCTTGCAAACCTGAAGACTGTACAGGTCAGTAGCTCCCTGGCCAGACCTGATGTGGCCTGAGGAGCAACCCCCACAATTGGTGGCCCAAGAGGAACAGGCTGAGTGCACAGCCTGGGGAGGGGTGGCCCAGTCTTGGTCAGATAGATCTGACTGCCCAGAGGGGAACCCAGATCCAAAGCCTTCCTTGCACCACGGTCCCTATGGCTGCCCTATATGCCAGTTTCTGAACCCCTCAGGTCCTCACAGGCTGTTCAGGCAAAGCTCACATCCTGGCCTTCTGCTGGCTTCCTGAGTCACCATAAAGGGGACGTGGCAAGAACCCACATTTCTGTCCTCGGCTACCCAGTCAGTGCACATTCTGACCCAGGAACTGTATTCCAGAAACAGCTGTGGGACAAATCAAGGAGGGGAAGGAAAACACAGGGCGCTATATATACTAACAGAAAATTGGAACCGCTTCCAAGGCCCAACACTACGGAAATAATTAAGCAAATTATGAGACACTGAGAAGGAAGAATCCTGTGTGTTAGAAGAATGGCAAGCCTGTGCTGAGCCTATGAAACAGGCACAATGGATCCCCAGAAACAGACACGATGCCACTCAAGGGGTGGCATGAAGGGACAATGAAGGGGGTCAGAGGAGGAACAGGAAGGTATGAGCTATGACAACATGAGCAGAGGCTCAAGAGGGTCAGGGGACATGTGGACACAGCTTCAATAAGAAGGAGACAGGCTGAAACCGCTTGGCTCAGTGGATAGAGCGTCGGCCTGCGGACTGAAAGGTCCCAGGTTCGATTCCGGCCGGGGGCATGTGCCTGGGTTGCGGGCACATCCCCAGCAGGAGATGTGTGGGAGGCAGCTGACCGATATTTCTGACTCTCTGTCTCTCTCCCTTCCTCTCTGTGGAAGATCAATAAAATATATTAAAAAAAAAAAAAAAAAAAAAAAGGAGAGAGATTACACCAGCTCATGGCGCGACCTGGACCTTGGAGAGGCCCTGCTGGACCTCAGCTAGGCTTTGAGCTGCAGGTGGTATATCAACTCACTGCCTGCCAGTATTCAAGGCCAACTCTGAGTAAGTTTGGATTCCATGCCCTGTCATATTAAGACATCATGTGGGCACAGCTGAGTTTGGAGGGAATTCAGGGTCCGAGTCCTCCCAGCCCTTTCTGATGCTCCGGTTATAGGCCTGATGCCTCTCGGTGGTTTCTAGCACTAGAACCTCCACCTGATCTGTGGCCCATTTCCCAGCTCCTCTTAACCCTGAGGTTGAATCTTGCTCCCTCTGCCCACCTAGCCTTCTGCCCATCCCTGCTGCTTCTCAGGCTGTTCTCTGCCACTCAGCACCACACCTGCTCTCCTCACCAGTCTCCCCACTGAGAAATGCAGTTTTGTTGTTGTTGTTTTTTAAATACAATTTTTATTGATTTCAGAGAGGAAGGGAGAGGGGGAAAGAGATAGGAACATCAGTGATGAAAGAAAACCATTGATCAGCTGCCTCCTGCACAACCCCCATTGGGGATCAAGCCCGCAACCCAGGCATGTGCCCTTGACCAGAATCAAACCTGGGACCCTTCAGTCCGCAGACTAACACTCTATCCACTGAGCCAAACCAGTTAGGGCGAAAAATGCAGTTTTTCTCTCTACAGTGGAAGAGGAGCTCTGCTTCCACCCAGGAAAGAGATGCCAGGCCTGACTTTCTGGAGAATTCTGGACCCTTCTCCTGGGGCCACTTGTGCCTCTGTGACATGAGAGCCCAACACCTGTGATGGCTTTGTTACTTAGGCTGGCACCTGTAGTGGTTTTGTTACTTATGTTACTTACTAGAGGCCTGGTGCACGAATTCATGCACAGGTGGGGTCCCTCAGGGTGGCCTGTAGAGATTGAGCCCCAGCTCGCGCCCCTAGCCTCGCAGCCCTACCTGGCACCTCACTGTGGCCTGGCGCTGCCCCTCACCTGCTCCATCATCCCACCTGCAGGGCAGTCGATCAGGGCTGGGCTCCCTGCCTGGCTCCTTCAGAGCCTGGGAGCTGGGCAATGGCTCCGCCCGCTGCTGCTGGCCGCCATCTGTGGGGCAATCGGCTAGGCCTGTGGTCGGCAAACTGCGGCTCGCAAGCCACATACAGCTCTTTGGTCCCTTGAGTGTGGCTCTTCCACAAAATACCACGTGTGGGCACACATATAGTGCGATTGAAACTTCATGGCCCATGTGCAGAAGTCGGTTTTTGGCCTGGGCGAGTCTATTTTGAAGTACTGTTGATATTTGGCTCTGTTGACTAATGAGTTTGCCGACCATTGGGCTAGGCAATCGAGCCCTTGCTTGCACCCGCCTTGGACTGGCACGGCCCGCTCACCTGCTCCACCATCCCACCGTGGTCCCACTCTTGTCAGGGCCCATTGGGACTGGCAGTGCCTCCACTGCTGCCTGCTGCCAGCGCCGCATTGCCCGCCATGTTCCACACCGTCCCATAGTGGTCAGCACATGTCATAGCAAGCAGTTGAATTCCCAATCAAACGCCCAGTCAAACAATTTGCATATTAGGCTTTTATATATTTAGATTGCAGTTGTTAAAACCTGGGAGCAACCTTCAGGAGGTGATGGATAAAATTGTGGTCCATCCAGACTACGGGACATTACTCAGCACTAAAAAGAATGAGCTATGGAGCCATGAAAAGGCATGGAAGATCCTGAAATGCATATTATTGAGTGAAGGAAGCCAATCTGAAAAGCCTGCATACTATATGGTCCCAACTCTGGGATATTCTGAAAAAACCAACAAAAAAAAACCCTCAGGCTACGAGCACAGACTTGTCATTCTTCTAAGAAGGATGCCAGGATTGGAGAGGGATACCCCGGCAGAGCACAGAGGGTTTTAGGGCAGTGACACTACTCTGAATGATGCTGTAATGGTGGTTCATTGTACATTGGAACAAACATATAGAGTGTCCAAGAGAGAACCGTGATGTCCACTGTGGATCACAATGTGTGTCAATATTGGCTTCTCTGGCCTAGCCAGTTTGGCTCAGTGGATAGAGCATTGGCCTGTGGACTGAAGGGCCCTGGGTTCGATTCCAGTCAAGGGGACATGCCCAGGTCGCAGGCTCGATCCCCACTAGGGGGCGAGCAGGAAGCAGCCGATCCATGATTCTCTCTCATCGATGATGTTTCTATCTCTCTCCCTCCCTCTCCCTTCCTCTCTGAAATCAATAAAAATATATTAGCTCTAACCGGTCTGGCTCAGTGGATAGAGCGTCGGCCTGCTGACTGAAGGGTCCCAGGTTCGATTCTGGTCAAGGGCATGTACCTTGGTTGCGGGCACATCCCCAGCAGGGGGTGTGCAGGAGGCAGCTGATCGATGTCTCTCTCTCATTGATGTTTCTAACTCTCTACCCTCTTCCTTCCTCTCTGTAAAAATTCAATAAAATATATTTTAAAAAATAAAATAAAATAAAAATATGTTAAAAAATGTAACAATAAAAAAAAAAAGTCTAGCCCTAGCTGGTTTGGCTCAATGGCTAGAGCATCGGCCTGCAGACTGAAGGGTCTCAGGTTCGATTCTGGTCAAGGGCACATGCCCAAGTCGCGGGCTCAATCCCCAGTAGGGGGTGTGCAGGAGGCAGCCGATCAATGATTCTCTCTCATCATTGATGTTTCCCTCTCTCTTCTCTCTCCCTTCCTCTCTGAAATCAATAAAAATATATTTAAAAAAAATATAGTCTATTGAATTACAAAGAACAAATATTGAAGAAAAATAAACAACCATGACCCACTGCAGGGGCCCCAGTCCCACAGGTGAAGGTAGCCACTAGGCCCAGGTAGCTCCCCGAGGGCCAGTCATGATCTTTGCAGAAGAAACCGAGTAGCTCACAGTGAGGAACTTGGTGGCAGACAGGATTCCCCGCTGAAGGCAGCGTCCCACCCCAAGGCCAATCCTGGGGGGAGGGGCTCACCTGGACGCTGGGCCCACACCGTGGGCTCTGCAGAGGTGACAGGCTGCACATCATGTTGCCAGCTGGCTGGGCTTCATGCTGTGGGAACTCCCTGTCCATGGTGGACCCCACTGCCAGCATCAGGCAGCTCCTCGACCTGGGCCACGGGGGCGTCTATCTGGGCTTCTTGCTCCAAGGTGGAGGCATCATGAGCTGGGGAGAGACACGACATGTCCTGAGGTCAGCCTCTAACCTCAGTGGGCAAAGACCCCTTCCCTAGGGACAAGGGACAGTGGGTGAGGGACAGCTAGGCAGGGCTTACACAGAGGGATCAGCCCTCCCTCTCCCCTGGCTCTGTCTCAGCCACAGAGCCCCATGGGCCATGCACCACACCCTCACCCACCTGACTACCCCACCTCAATGGGAGGATGTGAGCGGAGGCTCCCCAAACACCACAGTGCTGCCGGGGATGCCCCTCAGTCCCCAGCCTCTCCCCAGCAGCTATTCTGGGGAGGGGGCCCCTTAGAATTCAGGGCAGAACCCCCACTTGGCCTCCATGCTCAAAGCCTATAGGGGGCCCCACCCACTACCCTGGGCCCCCTCCTGGGGCCAACTGGGTCTGGACCTCTGGGGGGATGAGGGCAGCCTCTTCAGCAAGGCCAGCTGACCCCGCTTCATTCCCTCCCTGCTGGTCACAGCACCATCTCAGGCAGCCAGGCCCCCTAAATAACAAATATGTGGGCTCTAAAGAGCACTCCTGATACCCACATAGAGAGCCATGAGCTCTGGGACCCCTGATATGAGGGGTGACCCCTGAGGACCTGGCTTTGTGACCAGCACGTATGCCTGGGAGGCAGAGTCCAACCAGCTGGCACCTCTGAGTTGGGGATGCCTACCAGGCCCATGGGCCAGCCCTGCCCCTCTGTAGCCATGAGAGGCTTCCCAGAGGGTCTCTGGGGAGTCAGGGCCAAGCTGAGCCAGGAAGAGTTCCCCAGACCTGGTTCGGATTAAGGACACACAGTGTTCCCACTAAGAATGTCCCCATTCTTTAGGGCAGGCATACCGGCCAGGAAAAGGCACAGGAGTGACCCTAGCTCCCCATGACTTCCACCTTCCCTGTGACAGAGCACCCCCACCCTGGGCCCCACCCCTCACTATGAGCAGGGACCCTAAGCGGGCCAGCATGCTCCTCAGGAAAGAGGCCACCTCAGGACATTAATCACTCAGGGAGGCAGGCAGGAAGGGGAGGCAGCCGCCACTCCCAGCCAAGCCCTGAGTGAAGAAATCCTAAGGACTTCCAGTAATCACAGTCGAAAGAGCAGCTTGTGCAATCCTGGGGGGTGGGGGGGGGGGGTTACTCTGTATCCTGCTGGCCATGCACCCCTCATCCTTCGGCCCTGCTCCAGCCTCCGCCCTCAGGCTCTCAGGCTCATGTCTGCTGGCAGGATAACCTTTCCCACACCCCCCAGAGGCCTGGACCCTGGGAGATGCCAGTCACCTCCAGAATGCACCCTCTAGGTTCCCGCAGACAAGACCTGGTGGGACACAGGCTTGGACGCTGCAAGTGGGAAGCCCTGGGATTGCCTGCGATGAACACACACCTACTCTGATTGTGGTCTTGGCTGGTATTTATAAAAGTTCTGGGGTCAGGCAGACAAGTTGAAGATTTGAATGGTTGGATAATTGGGCACCTCGGGGCACCCCAGCTCCTGAAGCCTCCACCTGCTTATCTGGAGAATGGGTTGGTTGGTCAGGGCTCTGTGGACAAGGCTCATCAGGCCCTTAGCAGAGCCAGAGGCCTCTGCAATCTGGTGGCCCCAGGAATTGCCTTGCTTCAGGGGACATACCTTAAGGAAAAGTGTGCTCTCAGCACCTGGGACAGCAGGCAGGTGGAAACCACTTCTACTCAACAGAGAAAGCTCACAAAGCTGACCAAAGGCACTGGCTGGCACACTCTTGTCCCGTCTCTGCAGCAAACACTCAGGACAGGACATGTCCCTGGCCCAAGACTCTCCCCACCACGGCTCCCCCTTACAGCAGCCACATCCCCGAACAAAGCAGACCCCAATCTACACAGGGTGCTTCTGGGCTGTGACCACAGGGCTCGGCTGCTTCCTTGGAAAGCACTGTCCAAAGCCTGCAGCCAATGAGCATGTGGGGTGGGGGTGTCACCACGGCTGGCCCTCAGGTTGCACTGTGCCCAAGGGACTCACCCGCAGCATATCCCCCCCTCCCCACGCTCACTCCTCATCCATGTCCAACTGGCCTGCATGGCTCCTCCTGCCCCTCCAGAGCCCCAGAAGCCCCTGTCCCAGGAACCAGAATCAGTCGTGTCCACAAACCCCTCAGGGAACCTGTGTGGCAGCCCTAGAAGGCTCAAGCACTATGTCCTCCTTCACCCATGGTCCAGCCATCACATTCCTTCAGAGAAAGAGGTTTGTCACCTGTGTGGAGGGCTCCAGGCTCCACTGGGAGCCAGGACCCAAAGGACTGAGACCCAGGGAGCTAAGATCCTGGGGAGCATGTGCATCCTCTCCTTTCGCAGACAGAGTTAGGGTTCCCTGGAACACAGAGCAGGCGGGTATGGCTGCTTAGACATCAGCAGTTCCGCAAACAGTTAAACCTAGTCGCCACAGAATAAGCAATTCTGTTCCTAGGTGTCCACCCAGGAGAAAGGAAGACTCCTGTCCACATAAAACCTGGACCTAGATGTCCATAGTGACGTGATTCACAACAGCCAAAAAGCAGAAACAACCAAAGTGTCCACAGCTAATAAATAGACAAACACACTAGAACACCGATTTTCAACTGGTGTGCCACAAGATTTCTTAAAACATGCAATACCTGACTGTTTAGTCAGGGGCACCGACCTCTTTTCCCTTAGAATGTCAAATAAAAATAATTACAACAGCCAACACAACAGCAGCCGTCCGGTATGAATGAATCAAAATTATAATTAATTTTGTCAGATCGGCAAGAAATAGATGTTTTGGTGTGCCACAGAATTTTAGCCATTAGTTTATGTGTGCCACGAGATGAAAAGGGCAAAAATCACTGCACTAGGGATATTGCTCAGCCATGAAAAGGAGTGGCGCACTGACACTCACTGTAACGCGGATGAACCTGGAACATGAGAGTTGATGAGAGAAGCCAGACACAAAAGGCTAGAGTGTGTGATTCCATTTATGTGAAATGTCCAGAACAGGGAGACCCACAGAGACAGGAAGTGGATGAGTGGGTGCCAGGTGTGGGAGAGGAGGCTGGGAAGGAAGGAGGGACACTGTGCCCACTACCATCCACAAGCCCCCAGGAGCCATCCCTATGGTGCCCCTTCCTACAGTGCCCAGGTCCAACATCACCTCTCAGTGCCCTGGCGCCTCCACAGCCTCAGGCTTCCTGCTCCCCTGTCCCCCCAAACACAGGCTGTACCATCCCCTCACTTTCTGGCCTCTGTTAACTGCCACTGCCCCACTCCTTAGTCCTGAGCTCTGGACCCTGCCCCCAGCCCCTGAGTGTGAACATGTCACGTCTCAAAGGGCACCCACCCCAGGGGGCACAGTGTGGGATCTTGGAGCACAAAGATCAGAGCCAGTGTGCAGTGGTCCTGGTGAGTATTTTTAGATGCAAGTCTCATTACAGAAGCGTCAGTGCTCTCGGCAGGTAGGGGCCTGCAGTCGCCATCATGATTTATGTTCACAGGATTTCCTTTTGAGATCAGGTTTTCATGAATCATCACAGAAGACAAAGATCAAGGAATCAGTGGCCTGCACACGACCATTCGCGGTGGAAGGTTTGCGAAAGCCTGAGCCCCAGGACAGGCCAAGGGTCTCACCTCATACTGAGCTGTTGTGTTGGTTCAGCCCCCAAACACACTCCATCTGCCCAGACTCTCCAACTGGCACCTGGACCCTGCTGGCCACTCGTTACCTATTCTGTGTCCTCCCAGGCCAGGGCGAGGCTGTCCCCCTGGAACAACATCTGTGGCTGGCAGGGACATGCTGGATATAGGACAGTAGCCATTCCAGCCATCCCTCCTCAGGCTCCAAGTGAGGGCCCTGAGATCCAGACACAGCGGAGCAGGGCTGCCAGGGCTCCACGAGGCTCAGCTATTAGGACAGAGGCCCCAGTGGTTCCTGAAGCCTGGCTGGGCCTGACTTGGCAGACCAGGACTGTCTGGGGGGAGGGCCGTCAATGAAGTTGACAGCTGGGTGTAGGGAGCCCTCTCCTTGCCTCACTATTCAGGCCCAGTCTGGGGTCAGTCCTTAATGAGAGACCCAGAAAGGAAAAAGAGTGGGGGCATCCTGAAGAGGTTGCCCTGCTCCTAGATGGAGGTGCTGGGCTGAAATAGGGCATGCTGGAGTCAGGGGGAGAAATGGGCAGCTGCAGGCAGAGGGGTCAAGCCAGCAGAGATCAGCGTGGGGTGAGACCCAGCAGCCTGACTTGGGGGCACCAGCTCTGTACTAAGGTCCTGCCTGGGCTCAGCTCAGCTCTTCCAGGACCCCCAATGGGGCATTTGCTCTTCCAAGACCTCCAATGGGGCACTCGCACCTGGACAGCCACCTCCATGGATGGGCTAGACCCAAGGACAAAAGGAGATTGTGAGGGGAGGGTCCTGAGGGATGTGACAGCTGTGGCTCTTTCCTCACCAAAAGCCTCGGGAGCCCATTCCTTAGCTACTGACCACTGAGGAATACTTGGGTCAGATGCATGGGGACAAGGCAGCAAAGGGAGGACACAAGACCAGGGTGAGACCCCAAGGCTCAAGGGCCAACAAAGGGATGGACACCAGCTGGGAATAATAGGGGATTTGGGACTTGGGAAGAGAAGTGGTTCAGGAGCAAGGGGGGGGGGGGGGGGCGGGCAGAGGAGGTGTACTGGGGCAATCAGTGTCCACCAAACTCACATCCACTGGGAACCTTTGAATGGATCCTTATTAGGAAATTTGTAGGTGAAATTAGTTAAGCTGGGGTCACGCTGGATCAGAGTGAGCCTAATACAAACTGATATCTTGCTCCTCCCCCACCCCCCACCCCCCACCCCCCACCCCCGACCCCCAGATTTGGACACAGACACGCGGAAGTAAAGCCATGTCAAGATGGAGCAACAAGCTAAGTGACACCTGGAGCACCCAGAAGCTGGAAGAGGCAGGAAAGACTCTCATAAGGCCTTCAGAGCGAGCATGGCTCTGTGGCACCTACATCTTAGACTTCTGG